TGTGCGTGTGTGTGTATATATATATATATATATTTCTTAAATATTTACATGTATGCGTGTTTATTTATATATACAAATAAATGCACACACATTATGTAAACACACTTTTATTTTGAATGTGATTAATCGATTTGACAGCCCTAATTTTTTTTATTTCTTTCTTTTTTTTTTTTGCAGATTCTGTGATTGAGAAAGTTCAAAAGAGCAGCATTTATTTGAAATAGTAAAGATTTTACATTGTTACAAAACATTTCTGTCGCTTTTGTTCAATTTAATGCATCCTTGCTGAATAAAATTAATTTCTTTAAAAAAAAAAAAAACTTACTGACCTCAAAACTTTGAATGGCAGTGTATGTTTCAGCCAGTTGCTTCCTCATTTCTGAAATACTGATTACAACATTTGCACTAGGGTTTGACTGAATGCGAGTCATTTCTGTAGCTTTCGTGTGCTATTCAAACAGATCACTGGAGCTCCTGGCCTGTTTGATATGGGCTGACGGTGAGCCAGATTAAATTCTTGGGTCTGCGGGGAAGCCAGCTGACCTCAGATGCCCCGCTGCAGTTGTTTTTCCTGTTTAGAAGGCGCAAATCCCTTTATTATCGCAGAGATTTGATGGGCTAGAGCTGATATTTTGGAGTCTGAAAGTGTGTCATACTCGAGCATGTTTATTTGTAAACAGAATGATGCCCCGCCCCCCTCTCTTAAACCGCACTGAGGCATTATGGGTGATCTGAGTTTGCATAGCCATTAGTTGGCAGAAAGCGTCCCGCTGCTGGGAATGGAGAGCAGCTGTGTGTGGAAATGTCTAGAAATGCACATATTTGAGTACCTATGTGTGTGTTTGTGATTTGTTCCACAGGAAAACCCAGCACAGCTCCCTGGACCAGAGCTCACCGCCTCAGACAGGGATTTCCACTTACAACCACCCGGTGCTGGGACTGTACGACCCCAAAGATGACTTCCCGCTCCGCAAGACGGGTAGAACTAACCTCCTTCTTCTCAATGTGTCCTGCCCTGTCTTTTCACTTTCACTAGGGTTGCGTACAGCAGTTCAGGTTTACTTACTAAGAACTGGTTCCAAAAAACTTGGAACAAACTCTGTGACCTTTGCTTCCATTGACGTTTGTGGAAACGTTTTTTCCCTTCTGTAGATGCAGAAGCCGTTTTCTCACACTCACACACAACTGTAAAAGATTGTGAAGTTCAACTTCAACGGCTGCAAAATGTGGAGCAGTGTTTGACTGGCTTAAAATTAATTTGCAGAAAATGTATCTAATCAAAGCCGTTCTGAACACTGTTATTTTAGTAGTATGTATATACAATTATAGTTTTTATATTTTTTTAATGAATTAGCTTTTATTTTTTATATTTTCAGTTTTTATTTTATTTTGGTTTAATTTTTTTGAAATTTTGCTATGTGCTTTTGCCATTTGAATTAGTTGTTGTTCTTTTATACATTACTATTTAGTTCTGATTTGATTTCAGCTTTGCTTTTTTATTTTTGTATTTTTTTTTATCAATTAAGAAAATCTATCCCCAAGTTCAGAGGAATAATAAGTAAAAATAATAAGTAAACTTAAGTAATGATAATAATAATATTTATAGTAATATATAATATTAATAATAGTATATAGTAATAATAATTAAAAATATATATAATTATAATAAAAATTATATAATAATATAAGTAAAAACAAATAAGGTAAAAATTTTAAAGTTAATAAAACCTATTTTAGGACCATTTAGATCTTTTGCATGTAAGAATTTTTACAGTTTAAATTTTTTTTTCAAATTAAAATTAGCAAATGTAGCACAACAAATACTTTGTTCTTTATTAATCTGTTGAATTTTTTTTACAAATTCATTATTTAATTGCAATTTATATATATATATATATATATACAGTGGGTACGGAAAGTATTCAGACCCCCTTAAATTTTTCACTCTTTGTTAT